TGAAAGGATGAAAACGTCGATTTCTGAACTGGCAGCCCTCCTATCCCCCCTCAAATGCATTGCACAGGCCACCCACACCACATTCAGAAGCCACCATGACTCGTAATGGAAGTCAAATGCATGCAACATCCTGACAACTGGTTCGCAAAGCTATCATCTTCGGGCTTTTTGATGCAGCATTGCTCCTCAACATTCCGCCAATTCTCCAAGTGTTGGGAAGTTCTTCGGCTTACGTGGCGGCATTATTAGCTGTCATGAATTAGTCCCTTTTGGCCCATCGGATGAAATGGGCGCGACTTAAGCTTGTTCTAAGTTTTTTTCCGCGGCTGTATTTTGCTCATAACTGGAGCTGGGGCGTTTCAGGGAAGAGGGGGGGGGGCTGCCTCGAGCGCGGCGTCAGCCTATTCCAAACCCACTGTGTAATCTGGCTGGCAACCATAACAGTTGGAAAACAGGCTGGTGCTGCAACAGACCCATCCTCCCATGAAACGCCCCGCGACCGTAGCGAAAGGTCGAAAACTGCGCACCTCTAGCTATGACGACATAGTGGTGGCAAGCGCAAAAATTAGAATGATACAGTTATTCAGACAATAGTCACTAACATCGCTTTTGCTGGTATTAACTTGCATGCTGGATTATTTGGCGCTCTGATTATAGATATGCAGGGTAATTAAATAATAAATGAAATATTTAATAATTACTTAAGGATGGCATCCAATGTATTCCAATCAGTTTAACTTCCGCCTGTTGAAAAAAAATTTTTCGTATACAACTCGAAGGGATAAGACGGGCGACTTCTTCTTTTCTTTGTTTTCTACTACATACCCGACGACTGGACAATTCCTTACCTATGATGTAGGTAGTAGTTATACTTTTTCTACTACTCCGCTGACATTTTGTCTGTTCTGTGCCATTTGAGCTCATTTGTGTTGTGTTCTCTTGAGTTGTGTTACGTTTCTGTGGTGTTTTTTGTATTCTTTTTCTTTTCTTTCGTTCTTCTTTTAGTCCCGACCTGATTATGGTATCAAGGAATGTAGCGCACCTAGGAGTGCATATAAATAAATAAATATTAGGGTGTCCACAAAGTTCGTTGGCCATTCGTTTTTTCAGAGCTGGTAAAGATATCTCACCAAGTTGAACTTACCGGTCCATGATATAATCTCCATGCATACCTACCACCTTTCGCCAACGATCGGGTAGAGAGGCAACTCCATCCTCCCAAAAGCCGGCCGGCCGCGACTCGACCCATTCCTCGATCACGTCCTCGAGGTCGCGCTCGTTCTTCAGCTGTTTTCCGTCCAAGAAATTTTGCATGGACCGGAAGATGTGGTAATCGCATGGACTGAATGTCCGGGCTATACGGTGGATGCGTGATCGTCTTGATGCCCAGCCTGTCCAGGACGGCCTGAGTATCTCTCGCTTTGTGGGGGCGCGCGTTGTCCCAGAGCAACCACGGATTTGCAAGTTTCTGGGACAAGGCGGCAGCTTTCACCTTGACCTCCTGCAATTCTTTAGAGAGGGTCTCTGCCGTCACTGTGGCATTGTTGGGTAGGATGCTGTAGTGGACGACGCCGTGGCGAGAGAACCAGAATGACTCGGCATATCTTCGATGCCATAGTTTCCATTGGTGAAGCGAGTCCACCATTTTGACATCCAGTTCTTAGAAGGGGTGTTATCACCAAACTGCTGACGCATCCTGGTCGTGGCCTGACGTCTGGAGATGCCCAGGTTGTAGTAGTCCAGCAAACATCGGCGGTGGTGGTGACTATCACTCATCTTCACTGCTTTATTGTGGGAAGAGCAGGAAAGGAATTTCGCGAGTACTTTCAGTATTGCGAAATCATTATGCAAAATCACAACGCGTTGCGTAACGCGACGCTGTTTACAAATGGCCAACGAACTTTGTGGACACCCTAATAAAACACCAACCATCCTTGGCGCAGGAAGCTCCTGGCGCTTGAATAGTGCCTGCGCCATTTTCGCAAAAGACTTTTCCGGCCAAATCTTGCTAAATGCAATGCAGCCGGATCTAGTGTTCAGATCAGGTTTAGAAGTCTAGCTTAAACCCAACTTCAAAATGGGACTTTTCTAAACCCCACTTCGTCAGTATTCTGCGGTGTAATCGATTGTCGGGGGAGAAGGGAGGGGTGGCTCGCTTAATCTGTTGGTAGAGGGGGTTGGCACCACGCCAAACCCAATACCTTGACACGCCTCAGCATTTGTAGCGAACAAGTCTGTTTATATAATGAGAAACATACCGAAATAGGTACCGGAACTGTGCCATTGATTGGAGTTGGCCATGACTGTAGTGGAACAGGTGCAGGCTGGACGTAGTTAACCCTTGATTTTCGAGATTATAACGAGTAATGGCTTATTTTGCAATCATTATAAAATCGCTAAAGAAATCATAACTCCAAAAATTGTGCCCACTTCTCTAACTACTTGTCGATGAGTTCTCAAAATCTCTAATAACATACCTGTAATTAACTGACACAGGTACGGCTGCATACGTTTGCTGCTGGATCATTCGTAGCTGAAGTGATTCTGGTGATTATATTCATCAGATATATCTCTGTACGACTGATGCTGTCGCAGTTTGACAGGGTGGTGTTAGGGGCGTGAATGACCCTAGCCGCGGCTTTTCCTACCACAGGTTCTTTTCTACAAGAACGCCACAACTATTGGTAGAAAAAGCGGATGACATAATGAGACCGCCCCATCGAAATGCGACGATATCAATTGTGAATGTTTATTAGATTCCACAACATGAGATTGGAAGTAAAACTTGGAACCATAGTAAAGTATCGAAAAAAAATCAAGCAGAATTTACAATTCAGTTGAAACAAGTCAAAATAAGAATAAGAGCAACAAAGGAGAAAAGACAACATAGGAGCAACTATTCGACGGCGCCACCGACATTAAATGCATTGATTGTGAGTGTCATTTCTTTCGATTTGCATTAGAATGTGCTCAACTTCTGGTATCAAACCCCCGCCCTATGAACAAAAAGTTGGCTCCCTTTGAAGTCTCGGCTGAAGGCACGACAATTTTGGACAGAGTTCCCTTTGTGCATGATGAAACATTACGGAGGGAGAGCCACCGTTTGGTGACCTGATGTCACCATTAAGTATTTTTTGAACCATCTTGGAGTGTCCACTCCTTCACCTTTCTCCGGGTTCTGAGTTCAGGAACATAAGGCCTTTCTGGGAGAAACTCACAAATAACATACGAGGGTTGAGGATGATTACAAATTATCAAGAAGTTCATATGTCAAAGAGATGGACGAAGCTTGGCAAGCAGATTGAAACTTAATAAATTATTCCTACTTTGCGCTAGGGGTCTTGTAATAAAGGTAGATTACCATGGTCATCCGTAGGGGCAATATTTGAGCCGTAGATCACCGTGTGAATCATCGAACGGTAGAGCAAATAGTTAATTATTAGAAGCACGTTCAGAACAAAGACGAGCATTTGCCCCTGGACTGAAATAGACATTACTCTACCATTCTGTTAAAATTCTCTTGCCTATGCGGACTCTAACATTAAGCAGTATTTCACTTCAGTTGTCTCTCTCTCTCTCTCTCTCTACATCAGTACATTGTACTATTGTGAGATCTCTACTTCTAAAATCATTGGCTTCTATAGTTGTACACAGCTAGCTTTTTCTTGCGGACCATGGGTGGGCAAGGATACAGCATGGTGATCTGTGAAATGGTGCTTTCAGTACGACCGCCCCCGTAGAAGGGGCGTTTCGGTACGATCCCTCCCTTTCCCAACACCAACCCACCACTTGCTACATGTTCCCAGCTTCTAACCAGTTTTCTCCGAAATTTCCCGAAAATTTGCTACTTTTTCTGCAAAAATTTTCCGTCGAGCGCAGGGAGGCGAGATCGTCAGCAACCAGCTGCTACGACCAAGGGAATGATAGTTATATAATCAGCCTCAGGCGGCCGAACTAGGAGAAATATAGCAAAATATATACGCGAAAAAACCGCGAAAAGTCAAGGACCAGGGAAAAAATTTTTCCCAACGCGGCGAATTTCTCTCAAAGGCACATACGGCTCCCCTCTCAACAACACAAATACGACCCTCGCCTCTGAAGAGTGCATGAGACAATAAATTCTATTTCCCGGGTGGTAACGGGTAAG